TTTTTCTCTCTCTCTCTCTCTCTCTCTCTCTCTCTCTCTCTCTCTCTTGTTCATTTTTTTTGTTTTCAGGATAAACGTTAGATAGAAAACGAGCGGGAGAAAATGTAATGCAAGGCTCGTCGAAGAAGAAAACGGGAAAAGTTTTCGGAGTGGATGGCTTGGGCTCTTAACATAGGGTAAAAGGGGATCGTTTTATACGATTTTATAGCTCGTGGCAGGCAGACACGGGGTAATACCGTAAAGGAGGGATGAAACTTAACTCGAATCGAAACGCTAATGTATACGCGTATGCACGCGTACTTTAATATATACATATATATATGCATATGTATATGACTACTACGTATATACGTGTATACATTTAGACAACGTTTCCTGAATCGGGGTTAAGCCACGCTTCGGTGAATTTTGTTGAACAAGAAGATGCAACGTCGTGATTGTTCAGTCAAATCCGCCGAAAAGGGACGAGGGTGGTGGCGCACGTTAACGGCAGGCAACGCGTCCTATCCGATTTTCAAGTAGCATACATCGACTATGTGCATACGTAAATAATGCTTCTAGAGTTTGGTTGCTAAAGTGCCACCAACTTGTCCAGCTTATTGAGGATTAATGTCACGTACTTGTTCTCGGCCAACGTAAATAATTTTACGATTCTTCTTTACTTAAATGTCCTTTCTATTTCTTTTCTTTTATCTTTTCTACTTTTTCTCTAATAAACATTTTATATATTTTATTTTTATTTTTTCTTTTTCTATACAATGGAATATTAAAATCTTAATTAAATTCTGAATAAAATTAACTAAGTGTTGTATTGTTTTCGTTGCGAGAGTATATTTTATAAAATAATGATAAAATTTTAGGAGTCGCAAGTTCAATTCGATTTATCTTCGAATTATTTCAATACATATTTACAAAAGCATGTGATAAAGATGAAAAAATGTATTAATCGAATTTTTCGTGGGTGCAATAAAAACTGCATACTGTTACGAAACAACGGATTCCTGGACTCCTGCATTATTATTATTATTCCCATACGAAAAAAAAGAATCAAAATTTCGAAAACAAAACATTGAATATTGTATGATAATAACAGGAAATACCTAGTAAGAAAGATAAAGATAAAGAGAGAGAGAGAGAGTGAGAAAAAGAGAGAAGAATTTAGAGTCGCTTATCTTTTTTGATTTTTTAACGAAAAAGGAAAGTTTACTACCGCTCGGTGCCTTCTTCTCCCCCGAGGTCTCCGAAGAACACTCCTTTGTCTCTTTATGGTCCGAAAGTGGCCCATGGAAGTGAACGATGCACCGTGCAAGTTCGCAGCCGCCATATCGACGCCGCCGCCACCGCCACCACCATCACCACCATCATCACCACCACCGCGGTTACAGTCGTCGTCTTCTTCTTCTTCTTCTTCTTCTTCAACGCCACGAAGAAGTACGGTCGGATAATAACGAGTTTCGCTGTCGTCCCTTTCGCCCTTCGCGTAACGCGAGTCGTAAAGTCGAGCGTGCGCTCCTCTTCACTTCTCTTCTCTTCGAACTCTCCTTCTTCCCATATATTTTTTCTTTTTTCTTCGTTTTTTGCCTCTTTTATTTTATATTTCTCTTTTTATTTTTTCTTTTTTTTTCTTTTTATTTTTTTATTTCCTTCCTTCTTTCCCCGACCAACAATTTTTCTTCTCCTTGTTTCTTTGCCGATGCAGACGACGATGTCAAATTTTTATTGCACCAACCGCCAGCCCACTCTCGAAATCCCGTCAGTATTTTAAAATACCTTCCGGCATGCTTTTTCGGCTGCTTCTACGGTTTTGCTTTTTTTTTTCTTCTTCCTTTTGAAAATCAACCGAAATTATCCCCGATTGAGTGATCTCGCTCGACCTTACCCCCCTCCCCCTCCCCCCATCCTCCTCCTCCACCCATTCTTCCTTTTTAAAAGATTCCTCAAACGATATTTATTTGTCTCGAGTGTTGTTTCCTTTTTCTTTTTTAACCAGTTTGAACAAATTTTCAAGTGCCAACATCTGTCGAGATGATCTTAACGATGTTTCCGACTATTCTTTCGCGGAATTTGCGTCGTTTGGTTAATGGTATTATTTTGATTATTTAAACACTAATCACGATATATTTTTTTAATCCTATTAATTTTTTTGTTTCCAGTAAAGAAAAATAATGCTAGCAGCTGTAACAGCAACATTTACGATAAACTTCGTAAGGAAAATTTACGATATCGTTACGAAAAAAGTAAAAATTAAATGATTAAATAAGAATTTAAAATAATTATTAGTTTGAACGTAATGTTATTCGTATATAAAAAATGTAATAAGACGTATAATTAAGTATAACCTTTCATCTTTGAAAACAGATCATTACGAGCAGGTAGAAGATAAGAATTCCTGGGACAGATCTTTTGAAGATGCTATGGAACCTCACGATGCACAACCAGAAGGTCGTAGAATTCCACACCTCAGGAAAGAAGATTGAAGACAAACATTGGATTCTTCCACGAAAACTTGTAAAAACAAATCCAACCAACTAAAAACATCAATTAGACTCTTCAAATTATAATACAAAGTTATTAATTTATTATTATTAAACAACACATATTCAATAATTGTGTACCAATCAAATACCAAATAATTAGGATCATTAATTGATTAGAAAAATACAAACATAAAAATGGATTTTCTAATTTATATTCTATATTAATACAATGTATATATTTTTATTTTGTCACAATTCGTTAACTTAAATCCAATACGTGTAAAAATGATCGATACTAGCTTAACAAAAGTTATCTGACGCGTTGGAAAAAATTGATAAGAAATAAATAAAAATAAATAAATAAAAAAAAAAAAAAAAATGTCGGTATCACGAACGGAATAGGAAAAATCGACAGGCTGTAACCATTGTGCATACATTCGGTATAACAGCGTGTTCCCGTGTTATCCTACGGGACACGGAGAAAAGATCAGGGGCAGGAGGGGTGAAGACGCATTACCAGATTGCCTCACGCCGTTCGTATTCACCGGTCTTTTACATTCATGAAGCTTTTATTCGCTTGATTTGCCTATACGCTTCTCGTATTCACGGCTCTCGATTTGATTTGCATTGATTGGAGTGCTGCTGCTGCCCTTTTTGATACCCCTAGCCCGGGTCTTTTCTGCCTAACGCGACGTTATAGCAAACGCACGCGTATACTGTTTGGTCGTAAGTACAATGAGAAATGTTGATCGTATATACAACGATTCTACGTCATTTGTTTGTCATCATTTATTTTTTCTTTCACTTTTATGACACAGGATTTCCATCAATTTGAATTCGTATTTTGGTTTCTAAAGCATAGGAAATGAATTTGAATTTATTGAACAATGTTTGTTACTCAAATTTGTTGTTTCTTAAATTGCTCCGATGTTTTAAAAATTGGAAATAATTAGATTTAACAAAGAGATTTGTAGTAGCAGTCGTTTTGGTCGCATCGCAGTGACGAATTATCGTTTGCAAGAGTGCAAGTATCTCGCGTTAAGGTAATTTCGGTTGTAACTAAAAGACAGACCGCAAAGGTCTTCGACGAAGAACATCGTCTCGATTCGTTGATGATTTATGCCAGGCCACGCGGGAATGGTTACTTTGAAGTTCCAACCGAGCGAAAGTTTTACCGACCGAGTAGGGAGATAACTTCGACAAAATTATCTATGGCGAATGAGAGCCAAGTTTTCTTATAGAAAACTCTAAGGAATAAATTATTCATTATGAACAATCCTTATAATGATGACTTCGATAATAATTCATATCGGTTATAACTCTCGGTTACTTTTCGATTTAGAAAAAAAAAAAAAAAAGAATATATTCAAACGTATCTCTAAGGTTGACTTATAAAAATTGTCGTTGTACTATCGAGAGAGAAGTTTGAATTCCAAGTTGAAATTAAAAAAAAAAGGAAAAAAGGCTACTACCGTTTGTCGTAATGTCCTGTCGTCTAACGCGACCGTAAAGCTCGATGATTAATCGATTTCTCGAGAAGAAGAAAAGAAAGAAACCTGTCGACGATCGAGAGAAGAAACAGGGGAACGAACGTGAGCAAAGGACGCCGACGAGAGACGCAAAATATTTGGGGACAAAACCCAGAGTGACAAGACCGAGTCATTAATAAAAATCATTCTCTCGTTAAACTGAAAATATTTGTACCTTAACAGTCGTCGTGAACACTATGAACACCCTCGCAGCAGCATCTCGCGGCTCGTGAGATCGTGGATGAACAGAAATGAAAAGAGTGTAAGGATAAGCGAAGATCAACGTGTTTAATCGTCACGGAATGAGTATGAGTTTTTTTCTCTTCTTTCTTCTTCTTTTTGCTTTTTTATCTTTATCTTATTTTCTTTTATCTTTTTGTATTTTTACGCGCGCGGCATGGAAAAGAAAAAAGAAAAGGTGGGCCACCTGGAAACTCTCCCAGATAAAATTGATTCGTACGCGTATTTCGCGGCGACCTGGACCGTGATCGTGTAGCATCATTCATCTCGCTCCTATACTATTAGTACTGTTATTTATGGTTTAAAAAGTCTATAGATCGTGGTAGGCTATTATGTATCCGTATCGAGACCACGTCCACCGGCGTTGATTTATGTGTCCGCGCAAATTGCCGCTTGTCCTTTGTATAAGACGTTGGAAAACTTGGACGATTAAATCCCTTGCTAGTAGTATGGATTGTAATTTAGTTAAATGTACAAAAATGTCTACTTCTTCGGATAACGTTTTATTTTCGGTATAATTTAATTGGACGCCGTTCCAATTAAACGTCTTATAATATTTTTTCTTGAAATTTTATATATATATATATATAGATCAAATATCATTTTTACAAGAAACGAATAAGTGGTTCTCGCAAACCAATTAATAGGAAAATCAGAACAACGATGACGACGATTTAAAGTCGTGGTTCGATTAAAACCGATCAAAGTATCAACGAGACTTCCCTTTATCTTTGGAGTCGTCAAATATTCGAAATCATTTCAACGTTGGATAACGTTGCAACAGTAATAGCTGGTGTTCCTTTTGCATAACCAAGAGCTCTACATAATTATCTTGAAGTTCCTTGATCAGATCGGATCTCTTCACGATCATCTGCATCTTCCGGTCCATGTACCGACTTTGCTTCTCCTCATTGATAAGATCACGACTGTGCTCCATCTCGCACCTTACCACGTTCATGTTCACGATCATAAGATCGAGAAGATCGTTTTTCCTCTTGGTTCTATCGATCTTCTTACCGAGCTCCTCGAGTCTCTTGGCCCATTCATCGAGGCTCTTGCCAAAATGATTTTGCATCGTCTCGAGTTCCCTTTCCAAACGTTGGACCGTCCTGTCCTCCCTCAAACCTCTAGCCCTTCGTTTCAAATATATCCGTATCTCTCGAGTGACGTTGGTACCCTGTATGAAACGTAGATCATCTCGAAAATCATCGATACGCATCTTCAACGTTCGATGCTCCCATTCCTTGTTCCGAATAGTCTTCTGAAAATCAATCTTATGTTCCACTGCTTTTAATTTAAATTCACCCGCCCCTCCGATCAACACGTTAACTTCCTCGATTATTTTTCTAGGTATCAGGATCGCGTTCATGGTTTCGTTGCAACTACCATGTAAATTAATCTCTACCTGGCCCATTCTCATGACCAATTGTATTTCCGTGTTCAAATCAAAGATTCTCCTGTCTTCTTTCATTCGATTTAATTTTTGTTTAAGCTCCCGTATATTACTTTGACACTTTTTCAATTTTTCCCCATAAACATTTACCATTCTCTCAGATCGATCTATTTCAAATTGCTGAGCTTTGATCTTTAATTCCAATTCGATTCGTTGACGTCGTATTCGCGTTAAATGTTCCCAGTGATTATCTTCTATCGAAGATGGTAATGTACTCGGTCGTAAATCCAATTCGTCAATGATTTTCAAATATTCTTTACATACAATCGGCAAATAAATTAATTTCGTTCGATTAATCACGCATTTACTCAGATCGATTAAATCAGTCATAGTGACGTTCTTTAAATTGGTTCTAGGTCGACGTTTGTATTGACGCGAAAGAAGATCCACGGATGATCTACCCAACGACGGAAATTCTGATCTAAACTTTTTCTCTAAAATTTTCTCCCGATTGTACATTGCTTCCATTGGCGTTAACAAATGTTTTTGAACATTTTCAAATGATTCCAGTTCTTCCTTAAGTGTCGTCTCGGATTGTTGATTCTTCGCAATTTCATTTGACATTTTTTCGTAATTTTCAATATTTTTAACACGTGTATAATTTCTTATACGACCACGTACATAATGAAATTCCATTTGTTTGATAGCAGCTTTCAATTTTAATTTAGACTAAAATATAAACAGAAAAATGAATAAATTTATAATACAAATTTTCTAATAAACATATTTTGTACTTTGTTTTTTATACGAACCAGATAAAATTCGTTTAATTGGGAATTAAATTTATCAATACCCTCTTGCAAAGAGGATTTCACTTTAACGTAATCAGCTTCTAGAATTTTTTTATAACGTTCCCGATTTTCCATAAGATTCTCAACATCGGTTTCATACTTTTTCACTTCGCGAATATCTTCAACCGTATAATCTTCTGGTTGTTTGATCAGCATACACATGGGTTTTGGTATGTCCTTCTTAATAACGTCTTCCCAACGAACTTCCAACACACCGTCCATCATTGCCATAAGTGCACGTTCACGAAAATCATCGGCTAATAACAATTGTCTGATCCTTTCAGCTTCGATAGCCTGTTTGTCTAAAATTTCTTGTTGCGACGGTGAAATATAAGGTTTAACTTTGACTTCGTGATCCAAAACTCGTACGATCCTCTCAGGTTGTTCCTAGTTCGATGATTCTGATTAAATATATTTTATATATCTTTTAAAAATAATAATAATTTATGATACACGCATACCTTAATATGCCAGATGGGTATTGAAGGCAAACATGGCAACGAACGATCGAACATAATTTTTAATTCCGAATCAATGTAACGTATCCTTTCGATTTTATCCCCAATCACTTTCATTTCGCGTTCCTTTTTCTCATAAATCTCATTAAAAATCTTATTGAAGTAAGATCGAAGTTTATTACAATCGTCCATCAGATAATGATTGTTCAGTATCACCTGAAAGAACCCGTAAGATTCCATCTGCGAGTAATAATAAGGGGATGGCTCGATGAACCGGTGGCTCGTCATACCTATGAACAAAATGAAAGGGATCGACGTTAAAGTATAATATTAATACGAAAGATCCGATCTACGGTTACCAATCTGTCGGGAATTTTTGTCTACCTTCGAAAGCCCTTTGCTCTTCTATCTCTTCTTGGTCGATCTCACGTTCCTCATCTTGCAAGAGTTCGCTCATTCTTAGCCTCTCGTCTTCGCGAATCAATTGTAAAGGATTAACTGTGGCAAGTTTTATTTGTGATTCGGTATATGTTCGCCATGCTTGAAAATTTTCTGGTTTATTGATGCTCAATAAAAAATGTCTTTGAAATTGTGCGAATTCGGTTGTTTCTTTAATATCAGAATTTTCAACAACTAATGGAAAATTCGTCACTTCGAGATAACCATTTATGGAAAATATCGACTTGGCAAGAATCTTTTGTGAATCCCAATAATTTCTTTCAATCCATGCAGCAATGTGGTCCATAGAACTGCAATTGAACTCGTGCTCCAATCGCTTATCTTCGCGAGCATCTTTAGCTACTTTCATCGCGTGCTCGCGTTCGGCCTTGTCGAGGTCGAAATCCGACACCGGTAACCTCTCAAGCTCTGGAACGATTTCGTTCTTATTCAACAGTTCTACGACGACGTTCTTCAATACCAAGAAGTCCTTCATTATACTTCTTCTTTCCACGGCGCATACATTTTCTTCTTCCTTTAATATTTTCCTTTTTACCCAATCGACCCAGGTCAAATCGATCTCCTCTTCGAATTTATTTAATCTTCCTTTTGCCGGATTCAGTAGACTCACTAACGATGTAGTCAAGGTAGCATAATCAGCAAGTATACCTTTTTCTTCTTTCTCAGATGTAGATTCATCAACGGGATACAATTTCTTTGCAACATCATCCTACGCTAAATAAAATACATTTTTATTCGTTACAATTGTACAAACATATTAATCTAACATCAATTTTACCATTTGTTCTATTTTTCTCATCCCCACCAACGAGCCATCGTGACCAAGGACAACAGCCAAATTTGCATTAGGGTTAACCAGACCTTTGACCGATCCAAAATCCTGTCTATGATGTGTCATCATAGTCCCTACGATTTTTTTGATCCATTTATCTCTAATTATGATCAAACCATCGTACGCACCAGTTGTCAACCAATTACGATCAACAAAGAGACGCGCGCATCGAAAATTATGATTCGTTCCCATAGCGTTTACGATTTCTATGATGTCCGATGTTGTTTCTAATAATTTCAATACGTGTAAGTGTCGTGTCAGATAAGGTGTACCCACAATTAATTGAGGATTTCCAGGTACGGTGTAGACATTACGAAATGGGGTTTGTAAATTCAGTTTTGCGATAATCTCATCCGTGTTAACTTGTTCCTTAGACACCTCATATATGGCTATTTGTTCTCCAACGAAATATTTCATCGATGTGACAAGTAAAACAAACAATTTAATTCCCTTTCGAGAATCAAACAATAAAACATCGTTGATTTTTCTTTTCAAACGAACTTGTCCTATCACCGTATACGAATTATCTTTTAAACTGATGCAAAAACAATCACCAGATTTTTTATAGGCCACAACGAGGGATCTGTGATAACAAAATTCATGTATCAGATTAGGCAAATATTTTTGTTGAAAGTGATGTCAAACCTGCCGGATGAAGAAAATTTGATCAAATCCAACGGTCTTTTATATAATCTCATGTTCAAAATAATCTCAGGATTCTTTGGATCGATTGTATTAATCATCAACACTTCACCCTGATTGGTAGTCAACGTGATCAATGGATAATCTGGATGCGAAGCTTGACAGGAAATATAACCTATCGTTTCCGGAGATATTTTTCCTATTTCTAATCCACTTTTGCACTCTAATACAATGAAATCCTTCAAATCTTCACTGATTGCTACCGCATGGTGACACCATGGATAAACAAAATCAATATAACGACAATTAACACCGTAACAGAAATATTTTTCTACCGAGGGTGTAATTTGCTTTTCTACAAATTGAATTTGCATCAAATGTCTTTCGATAGTGTAGTAAAATAGCCAATCATTTTTTAAAGGATGTGTCACGAGTATGTAAGGTCTGTTCGTAGATTTGATAGACCTGTTGATCAAAATATTGAACAAATGTAATTACAAATGTAATTGCAGATGTTTTTTTTTGTAATCATGAGAAACACGCACCATACTTTGTTCCAAGTATTAGAATTAGCATCCTTTTTGTAATAACGTATTTGACAAAATGTAGTCTTCAAAATGATTCCACTACGATACCAACAAATAATTGGTTTTTCATAATCTTCGCATACTTCGCAATGTTGAGATAGGACAATACGATGCACGTCGGTACCATCCTCGTTACTCAAATATACATGACCATCATGATCAGTGATCGCTAAAATTGGATCACTTGGCGAAGGACACCAATCCACCCAACGTATCGGCTCATCTTTTGGTAACTTTATTTCATAATCTGTACTGCACATTTTTATTTTTGTAAAAAGTATTAAAAATGTGTAAATAAAATTCAATTTATAATTATAAACCTTTGATAATGCAAATCTTGCCGATAACATCGACACTCCATACGAACAATTTGCCGCAAGTTTTTCCCATTTGTGCTACGAGTGTTGGACCAATTTGATTAATTCTGAGTATTTGTCCTACTTCATCTCGAATGCAGGTGTTAACTTCGACAATTTTTTCACCAGTTTTCCAAGACCAAAGTGCCATTGGATAATGAGGAAAATAACCCATCGACAGAAGATAATCGTTTGCGGTGAATGCAGTTGCCAAATATCCGCCTTTGGATCCACGCACGCATTCGGAAATCTTCGTTAGCGTAGGATAATCAAATATCAGGATTCTCGGTTGAAATGTTTTTTCAGAAAACGCAAATATCGAAAGAGTGGCGTGTGCTGAGAGACAACAAGCACCGTCACCGGTATTCTGATCAATGCAACGTTTTATGAACTGTTTTTTACTACTAATTTCTAGAAAAATTATGTGAACACCAGTGGACCAAGCAAGAACATCCCTGCCAATAAAAATGATTTCCTCAATCTTTTCACCTCGTATCCAACATGGAATCCACGTGTTTTCCATACTCATTTCTATATTTCCTATCTCAATAACCTCAAAAATATCTTTATACACGTTTATTATTAGTTGTTCGATGTTTCAATGTTTTCTGTTTCTGATTGAACTTCGAGAAATCTCGTTTTTTTTTACAAATCGAGACAGAGAAAGGAAAAAAAAAAGGTCGAAGTAGTTTAAAAGAAAGTCGTAATTAAATGTAATTAAAAAAAAAAAGAAAAAAACAAAAAAAGAACAGGAGTAGTTAGTTGTTCGTGATGGTAGATCGAGAACGAGTTAATCGGGCACGTTCGTAGACTCTTATCGGTTAGAGAACGGGGTTCCCGGCAAAGGTGAGTTTGGCAGGCTTAAGACAAAAGGTGATTAGGATACTCAGAGTCGATGCTGGTTTATAAAGACCCCCCCATTGCGTGGCGTGATGAGGTCAAGCAGCAGGGAGTCATCCGTATAGCAGGGCCCGATCAAAAACTTATCCTTGCAACGTGATATACTGCCCGTACTGCTTGCTGAGACTAGTTTTTCTTTTTATCCCTTAGTATTTCTTTCTCTCTCTCTTTCTCGTTCAAAGAAGAAGAAGAAGAAGAAGAAGGGTCTGCATGGAGTCTTGCCCTTCTGAGACTGTGCCCTTTGCTTATCCAGGACTGAAGGATGCGTGCTTCTTGCATCGATCGTAGGACCCAAAGCTACGTGGCCTTGCCATTAAAGTGACACCCGCTGAGATTCATATTTGCATAACTTATCGTCATCGACGTGATCATACCTTTTTGCAGTATCTAAATATTATTTAGAAAGAAACAAACAAACAAACAAACAAACAAATAAATAAAGAAATAAATATAATATTTAATTGAATGATTATACTTGAATTTCTTGTGAATCTTACGGTATTGAGCGCTATCATTAACGTCGAACAGTAGTACTGAAATAAGGAGAAGTTCCGAGAGTTAGATGCAGAAGCAATACGATCGAAGGTCCCTTGGTACACTGTATCCGTGTGTGAACTGTGGGAACACACGAATCCAAGAAAAAAAAAAAGAAAGAAGAAAAAAAAAATGGAAACATGGGATGAAGAGAGAAAAGGAAAGAAATAGTCGTCGAATAAGGAAGAGAACAAGGAAGAAGAAGAAGAAGAAGAAGAAGATGAAGAAGAAGAAGATGATGAAGAAAAGGGTGAGTGAGTGAGTGAGTGAGAGAGAAAGAGACGGCGGGTAACATTTAATCAGAGCCCACGGTGAAGTGCACGGTACGCGTATGTATATAGAAGCGGTATATGGTTCGGTTAGTTTTTGCTTGGGAGGTTGCCTGGAAATTGGCGCCAAATTAGTAAGGAGGACGAGGCGAGGCTCACGGTGCCTTGGGCTGCGTGACGCGAGACATTAAAAGTAACCTCTGCTCTTGTACACCCCCGTCCCCCCATCCCGGACTTCTCTTCCACCCCAAATCGGCCTCCTCCTCGTCTACAGCTCTCCTCCTCACTCCTCCTCCTCACTCCTCCTCCTCCTCCGCCTTCTTCTTCTTCTTATCCTTTGCTTCTTCCTTCCTTCTTTCCTTCCTCTTCTTTTCCTTATTTCTACCCATCGAATTCACAACAACAACCACCACTACCACCACCACCACCACCACCACCACCATTATCATCAGCTAGCACCATAGCTTCCACTTCCATAGACAACGTCCGTGATCCGTGGTGCTACAAAACGAGAAGATTTAGAAGAAACTCTTTCTTTCATTCTTTCTTTCTTTCTTTCTTTCTTTCTTTCTGACTCGCCACGGTAATCACTACCGTCCAACGAAACTGAAAGAAAGAAAGGAAGAAAGGAAAGAAATAAAATAAAAGTATTCGCACTTACGTCGAACCGAGATGAAGAGAGTGAAAAATAGAGAGAGAGAGAGAGAAAGAGAGCGCCAGGTTACCAGCTTGATTCTTTTTGTATTGAAGAAAAACGAAAGAGAAATAGTTAAGGTGGGAAAGGGTATCCATCTTGATGAATTTCGTTTTCTCTTCGGCTAACGATAGCGCAAGAAAATTCTGAAAGTAGATATGATTTTTTAACGCGAATCCTTTCAAGTGTTCTTTCTTTCTCGAAAAGAAACCCATGAGTTAGTTCTCTTTGTTTTAAAAGAAGAAGAAGAAGTAGAAGAAGGGAAAACCATTAAGAACGTTCGTAAGAAATCGTAGAAAGAAAAGAAAGAAAGAAAGAAAAGAAAAAACAACAGAAGAAAGCAAAAAAAGAAACGAAAAATAAAATAAAAGAAAAAAGAAGAGAAAATAGAAGTAGGAAAGGTGAGGAAACTGGTCGACGCAGTGTTCTCGTCGTTTCGTCGAAACAGCTGCTGCTGCATTTTAACGGTTGCATGTTTCGGTTTCGAACTGGTGCTAGATTATATGGATGCATCGCTACGATCACAGACAAACGTTTAAATCGCTAAACGTTAAATTATACGCGGCTCCATCCGTCTATACTATCCTCCGCCCATAAAAAATAATAGCACGCTCGGCATAGATTCGCCTAGCTCCCGATTTGGTATCTCTCCTCTTTTTCTTCTTCTTCTTCCGAACAGCTGCGGTCATTTCTTCTTTGGATTCTTCGGCACGTATTATAATAGATCACGTGTCGTATCATTTTAGGATAGGAACGATATATTTCTATATAGATACGATCTTTCGATGTTTCTAATTATTATCAAAATAAATATCTAAGTAATGCGTCGTATCTCTTAATTATTTATTTGTTCAGCATCTAACATGAATAATAATGAACATGAATAATTTGATCGTGGTGCAACACACACGGAGAATAATATAAAATATATTAATATTAACAGTGTTAAAAAAGATTATTCATATCGGACCACACACGAGGACGAGTTGGTTGGTTTCCTCTAGTCGGTAACATTAATTAACATTCGTCTTTATAGCAGCTCGCTTGTGACTGCTAAGTATGAAGGAAAGAGGCATGCTGTATGCATGTTGCGGCGTGTATCAATGATGAAAGCTTTGACTCTCTTATTTTCTTTCTTTTTCTATGTATTTGTGTATGCCGTGCCCGGCAAGCACCAATCAACAAAGCGTTACTAAAGAAAAAAAAATATGAAGTAAAAGGTATAGCGTTGCCACGATGACATATGAGCTACCAGAGTCTTTGTGTCGCCATGAATACCACTTAAATTGGGGAACGAGCCATCAGGCCTCGCTACTGAATATCATCCTGATGCCGGAGCCGTCCGTTCTCCGCGATTTATCACCTCGTGACTCTTTACGATTAACGGATTACAAAATCCGCGTCCTTGCCTCTTCTCCCACCTTTCCCCTATATTCCTTTGAAGCTCATACCGAACGCGAGCAAAACTAGAATTCTAATTGAAATTCCATAACGTGGTGAAAGTATCAAACGTTCTCGCATTATTTTCCCGTCGATTATTCATCATCTTGTGTAGATGTCAACAAGTTTTCAATAGACTTAATATCGTATATAGTTAGAAAATACCTAACTAGATATACAATACCGATGCTAAAATCATTTCTTTTTTTTTCTCTCTCTGTAAATTTTACAGTGTGTTACGCGTTATCTTGAACTATTAATGAAATTTAAAGAATCTAACGTTTCTACGTGACAACGGTGAAAAAGAAAAAAAGAAAAAAAAAATAATAAAAACACGCGATGAGAGAGTTAGAAAATACAAGAAGCCAGAGTAGATATATTTTCTTTTATTTTATTAGTTACATGAGTGAAGCTTGTAAAACAGGATCAAAGGTCGGAGGTTCCGGTTAACGCGCAACCGCTTCGCATGAGTGCAGTTGACGAGCACTAAAAATTTCGACTCTTTAGCGAGGCAGTGCGAGAAGGCTCCGGTATAGAGGCAGGTAGATATATAAGAAGCAGATGTGTCTGTCATTAATATGAACCGGCGAAGCTATTAATAACCGGTTAATGAGGACTCTCTTTCTCTCTCTTTCTTTCTTTCTAACTTACCTTCTCTTTCTGTCGTACGTGCGTGCGAGACGAGGTCCTGCTCGTAAGATAGGGAGAACGTATGCGTATATACACATCGCCAGCTCGTATTGTACTACTCGAGTATACCTATACGATTGTAGTGTATCGTCAAAGGGTTCCGGCAAACCTCGTGATTTATAATCGGCTGTGTCCCTTTTTCTTTTGTTTTGTTTTATTTTCTTTTTTTTATTTTTCTACTCTTTATATTTCTCCACGTTTCGATCGTCTACAAATTTTGAACCTCTTTTCTTCGAATATTAATATTATCGTACGTTCATCATTGTTTTTCGAAGTCCGATTTGTTCGTATTAAAAATAATTTCTCGATGAAAAATCGATATGATATAGTTTGCGATTTTATTCATTATATCTTGGAAAAATCTTTAATATTCTTACAGTACGATGTGTGTTGCAGATAATAAGAAATGTATCTAGGTAATATTAAAATATAAGTTCTCTTGTTGGTAGGGAATAATTTGAAAGATGTCTCGAGACATGAAGAAGTAGCTTCCATCTTTCCAAAAGCCGAAGGGTAATTAAATGAGAACCACTGAGTACGAACGCAGGAACGCCCACGCCATGCATCAACCGTGACGTAGATAGGTAATGCTGCTGCAGATGGAGAAGATGGTCCTCGGAGATATACCCTCGGTTTCTACCTTAGTTAGGGTCAGCTATCTCGCGCGACCCATCTCCGCCTATCCAATCACACACTGCACACCGCGTATGGCACGCAAGCGATAATACACGGTGTCCCAATTATCCCGCGACACGGCAAGGCCCACGCTCTCGCCGTGAGAGCATTTTCAACACGCCCCTGCTAGTCCCCAACCTCCCCTTCTCCTCCCCCTACCACCATATGTACCAACCGGCAAACGCTGGCGCCCCTCAACGGATGGTTCTCATAAAGGACGAGTCCTCCTTCTCACCTCCTCCTCCTCCTCCTTCTCCTCCTCCTCCTCCTCCTCCTCCTCCTCCTCTTCATCCTTCACCTTGTTCTTCTCAAACTCCTTTTCCATCG